TCTTGCAACCACCGTTGCCAACGCTCACTCACGGCCCTTTCCAACACCTCTGGCCTTGGTTCCCATCCATCCCACAGACCTTGGCGAGTGAGCTGGTGAAGCCAAAGCATCGGAGGCAGACCATGAGGGAATGAGTCGCGAACCTCCTTTTTGAAGCGGACACGTTCGTGAATATCCGGCAGACCCTGACCGCTGCTCACCATAAGTAGATCCTCGAACGCATCCTCGAATCCGAACAAGGTCGGATCCTCGCCGTTGGGAAGGTCCCGAGGTACAGGTTGCGGTATATCATGGAGTCGTAATGGTGAATAGGGCGAATCGATGATGAACGAGAAGCACATGAGCTGGTACAGAGACTCAGTGACCTCTTCGGCCTTGAAGAGGGCTGAGATGGACGACATTGGGCCGAAGAGGTCAAAGACGGTGGGATGCGGGTGCTGCGTAGATGACACACGGGGCTGTAAGCTGGTGTTGTCGTCGGCGAGCGGCCTTCTGCTTTCAAGCTCTTGGTCACGGGATGGCAGAGGCGGTTCCGGCCATGAGCTATTGAGGCGAGATACGGCCGAGGGAATGCCCAGGAACCGCTGGAAGGCCGATGCAACGTGGTCGTCGACTTTCTGTTTGAAGCGGACGAAGACGTTGTCTGGAGAGTTGCCGTTCGACATGGTTAAGATGAGATGGGCTGTTTGGTGTATTTCGAGGCTATAAGTCAATGACTTTCGCGCGTATGCGTCTCAGTTGATGAGACGCTTTGTTGAATGGATTCTGCTGCTGTAGTGCTGTAGTAAGCAATTGGCAAGTTTGCCCTCGGTTGCCAGTCAAAGGCTCGAGGCCTACATAGGAGAACGTGAGATGTTGTTTGCGGAACCAATTGACGAAAAAAAACAGTTGATGAAAATGACGACGTTGTCGACTTAAGATCAGGTCACCCGGCAGTGGCGATCGGGGGACGGCGGGGTCTGCAAGCAGGTATGTAGTCAGTTGATAGGTCGGAGACTCTGAAGTTCCGACAATTTCCCAACAACCTGGGATTGGTGGAGAGTACGGTGACGGCACGGCTTGACGGTGAACGACGGGAGGAGAAGCCCGGGTGCAACGCGCAAGCCACAGCTCGTCCATGGCTGAGGCACAGGCTGGGAGGCACATGTGGTGGCGAACTCTGCTAAGTGGCTCAGGTGCACTGTGCAATCGTTTAAACGAGGCACTAGACGCCTCGATAACCGCTACGAATACGTCGGCCCAGGAGAATGCGGATACGCGGATGGACCCCGAGGCTTGACCCGGTTGCCCCGGCCGGCTACGTTCCAAGCGAGCCGCTGTCTCTGGCGACTCGGCGAGTGCCTGAGAAAAGGTATCCGTACCTCCCTCTCACTTGAAGCTGTGGCTAGAGTTAGCTCCCTTTTGGTCGGCGTGGCTGCTAGTTGGATGAACGAGACTAAGGTAACCCAGAGACACCAGAATACCTACTTGGAGCACTTTGCTCTCACATGCCAAGGCGACTGACTATTGTTCGGAGCTCTTTCAACTGAGGTGCCTGCAATCTTCTCTACCGCCCACGAAATGACAGCATTGAGCAGCAAATGCTGAAAGCCTGGAAACCCCCACATGTCGCCTGAGCCACACTTTACATTTAATAGAATCAAGCCGAGCCCCACCTTTCGATGCTCACTGTCTTTGATTCTTTCAGGGACCTCCTTTGAGGAAAACGTAGTTTTGGGGGCCCTTTGACCGGGGGATTGATTGCCCCCCTCTGGTTGAATGTGGGAACGTGCTTTCACTTTCATGCTCCCAAAATGCCGAGACCCGCGCGTCAGGGTCGGGTCGGGCCTGTGTTGTCGACCGATGTGTCGAAACTGAGTGTCGGACCCAGAAGAGGAGAAAGTCGCGGCGGAAGGAGCGTCACCCAAGTAGCAGTACCTCACAGGCTCACACCTCATCGAACGGGAGTACGGAGTAGCGGCTGCTAAACGCCTGTACTAAAATCTTGATTGATCCATCTTATTCCAGTCCCGTACCTAAGTACCTTCTTACGACCTACGTACCATAAGCTATCTTTTACCCTTCCAACATTACGACATTACCTTGAAATCCTCATCTTCTTGACGCAAATCCTCATGGCCGGCTACGACGATTTGCTTTTCCGCAGAACTTGAGGTTCCGATTCCCCCTCATCTTTTGCGCCGTCCAGATGATATTGCGTCTTGGCCGTGTCCAACCATCCGTCGCGCTTGGATGACAGGCGACTCAATTCGCGCCGTCGTCATTATCTCCAGCCTGCGCCAAATTAGCACCAAAATCCCAGCTGCTTCGAAAAAATAGCTTGTGATCCGACCGACCGCGATACGACTTTGTCCCATTCAACCTCACCTCGACATACACGACCCAGCGAGTCGTCATGACCGTAGCTGATGCGGTCATCGCCGCTGAGCCAGCGGCACGACCAGGCGACGATGGAAAGGACCTGCAGAACTGGTCTTCCCTTATCGGCATCATCACCGCCATCGTCGGCAACGTCCTTATCGCACTCGCTCTCAACGTACAACGGTACGCCCACCTCCGACTTCACCGTGAACGCATCCGGGTCCGACGTAGGGCGAAAGAGGCTTTGAAGCATGCGCCGAGCGGAGGCCAGACGGGGCCATATGGATCCGTTGGCGGAGGTGGAAGAGGAGGAGATCCAGATGGAGACCTACCAGAGAACGGACAGAACACGGACCACGATGCCGGCGAATCCGAGCCTCTGAGAAGATCATTCCGTTCCGAAGAGTCCGCTGGCTCCGACTACTCCGGCGAGGAGGAGAAGGCCCCTTCGACGTATCTCCAGTCGCCGTACTGGTGGGCGGGCCAGATCCTGATTACGTTGGGCGAGCTGGGCAACTTTTTGGCGTACGGCTTCGCGCCCGCTTCCATTGTGTCGCCCCTGGGCGTCGTCGCGTTGATTTCCAACTGTATCATTGCGCCGATCCTGTTCAACGAGAAGTTCAGGCGGCGCGACTTTGGGGGTGTCGTCATCGCCGTGGCGGGAGTGGTCGTTGTGGTTTTGAGTGCTAAGCAAGAAGAGACAAAGCTCGACCCCGACGACGTGTGGGACGCGATTACGACTTTGGCATTCGAAATATACTTGGCGGTAACGATCTCGTTGATTGTTATCCTTATGTGGGCGAGCCCGAGGTACGGCCACCGGACTATCCTGATCGATCTGGGCTTGGTGGGACTATTTGGTATGTACTTTCTATGTTGGACGGGCGTACGGACGATCATGTTCTAACCTTCATTCTCTTCAGGCGGCTTCACGGCTCTTTCGACCAAGGGCTTATCTTCAATATTATCGACGACTCTCCTGGCTGCTTTCAAGACCCCCGTCGCATGGGCACTGATCTTCATTTTGCTCTTCACGGCAGTGATGCAGGTGCGCTACGTCAACAAGTCGCTGCAGAGATTCAGCTCGACCCAAGTCATCCCCATCCAGTTCGTCCTCTTCACTCTCAGCGTCATCATTGGCAGCGCCGTACTGTACCGCGACTTTGAGAGAACCTCAGCTGAGCAAGCCGGGAAATTCGTTGGAGGCTGCTTGCTTACCTTCTTCGGCGTCTTCCTCATTACTAGTGGTAGAGTCGAGGAAGACCTGGATGATGGCATGTCTGATGTGGATGGTGTGGAGGAGACGATTGGCCTGGCTGAGCAAGACGGCTACAGTCCGACGCAACCGCTGGCGCCTTCTTCCACCTCCATTCCCTCGTCAATTTCACGCCGGTCGTCTCGAGCCTCGAACGGGAACAACGCAAACAACGGGTCAAAGCCGTTTAGTTTACAGCGTGATTCCGGCATTCCATCCCTTCGCGTTCCCACAGCGGCTTCAGCGGGAAACATTACGGGCGCCGAGTCAGAACCGCTGTTAGCCAACCCCTGGAGCAACTCCGCGACAGAAGAAATCCTCCCCCCGCCAGGCGTCAGGACCATATCAGACGAGTCTATTCATACCTTCCCCGGCTTCGGCTTCTCACCGTCAGAGCCGACAACGCCTTACTACGACGGCCAGATTCAACCTAGATATCCTACCAATCCCACAGATAGACCCGTTACACCACGCACATCACTACCGCCTCGACCTCACAGCCACAACTACCCTGGGCCCCTCTTCTCCCCATCCCCCCTCTCCTCTACCGTGAGCGCCGTCGTCAAGGACACTCTTCTCAGGAACGCAGAGAGCCCGCTCCTGCGTAGGCCGTCGGTGCGTCGCCTGCGTTCCAGCATCAGAGCGAGCCTTTTCATGCCCGAGGACAATGGCGAGGGCGCAGACGTTGACGCCGAGAGGCAAAATCTAGTAAGCAGAGGGGACGACCAAGATGGTGGCGTCGCGGAGCGCAGTCGCACGGCGGGCGAGGGCGCCTCTCGCGAACAAGTCACTGGCAGACAGCGGAGCCTGAGTGATACGCTGGGCGACTTTTTCAGGGTAAAGAAGAAGAGAAGGGACGGTGGTACAGATCCGGAAGAGGAGGTATGAGAAAGGCCCAAGAGTGAACCTGGATTGCCGTCGATGATTTGGGGTTCAAATGGGATTTTGGAAGGGAGGCGTCATTATTATTTTTCCCGCCAAGCATTGCATATCGGCGTTCCTGGTAGAGAGAAAGTTTGCAATTCGGAATACTGCGTGTGATGGTGTCACACTCACATCACACCTGTCCATCTTTTTTTGGAGGCGCGTGTGGAGGGAAATTGGGTTTCGTTTTTGGTTAAACCCTTGTAGGTATATAGACACTTTGTTAATAAGGAATTCGCGCGTACTACGTGTGCGTATGAAGTCTTCTTCAACATCGACTTGTTTTTTTTTTACCTGAGTGAGCATGAAGATGGCAGGTCCACGACAGAGTAGAGAGTATTTGCCATGTGAAGTTGAAATTTGTTCCTTTTGAATAACCTTGGTGATGCACAACACATCTAAAGAACAAGTCGCCCATGATTACCTTCCCCATACAAGAACTGCCCTTTGATCAAATCACCTAACCTCGGGATGAAGCCTTCTTCTTCCTCATCAGTCGCTTTCTCGCAATGAGCAGCGGCTTGACATCTTCGCGATCAACCTTGCCCGCGGGCGTCTTGTCACCATCCGACTTTTCTCCGCTCTCCTCCTTCTCTGTCTTGGGTCCCTTGTTCATGTTGCCCTTCTTTCCCTTCTTGCCCTTCTTCTGGTCCTTGATAGAAGCCATGTTGGGTAGCTCCTTGCCACCGGCCTTCTTGTCGAACTTACCGCCCTTCTTTCCGTTCTGCGCGGCCTGAGGAGCCGCCTGCGCGTTGGGCTTGTTGCGGTCCAAGTTCTTCTCGTTGGCCTTGCGACGGGCGACGACCGAGGCGTTCTCGATAGCGAATTCGACAATCAGGCGCTGCTTCTTGCCGTGCTCGTTCTCCATCTGGTAGCCGTTGAGGAAACGCAGGCCCATGAGCGCCCAGCGGTGGGACGAGTACTCGATGAAACCGTATCCACGGGACTTGCCGCCGCTCGCCTCCGGGACCTTGGTACCCTCGCGACTCTCGAACTCGATCTTGGCCTGGCGGACGATACCCTTGCGCTTGAGCTTGCGGTCGTGCTCGGCCTCCTTATCCTCCTTTGCGCTTCTGACCTTCTCCTCCTTGGAAAGGGGCTGACGTCTGCCCTCCTTGACATCTGTGGCGAACTCGACGCAGGCCTTGCGGGCCAACTCCTTGAGCTCCTTGCCACCGATGTTGCGGGGGATGTTGCGGACAGCCAGACGGGTAAGACTGATGTGCAGCGAAGGGTTGCTCTGAACGAGCTTCTTGCGCTGCTTGGCGCTGTCCTCTCTCATCTTCACCTCGTTGGGCGTGAGCTTGTGGTACAGAGCAGATCTAGTATCGAGTTGGCCTTCGTTGAGCAGGAAAAGACGACGCTTATCCTTCTCGCGTCTCTTGGCACTGCCGTCGGCAGCCAAGCGCTCGGCGTCGTCTTTGCTAACTGCCTGAGCAACCTGCAACAGACGGCCCTCCAAGGTGTAACGACCGTCGGAGTCTGCGGATTCGTCCTGCAACACAGAGTGCTTTGTGGGCAGGGTGTTGGCCTGTGTGCGCGGCGCGCCCTTGATGCAGGCTTTTGAGTCTTCCTCGCTGACGAAGCAGACAAACCCGGTACCCGCCGGTCTGTCAGTTGCCCGATCCATCACTACGCGAGCATATCTGACGGCACCGAACTTGGCGAAATGCTCCTTTAATTGGTCGTCCGTAACGGTGAAGGGCAGGTTTCGAATGAAGAGTGTTGATGTGTTGTCGGTAGATTGCGTTTTCTTGGCGGGCTTCTTGTCTTCCTCGCCTTCGCTGTCTTCCTCTCCGTCGGAAAGCTCCTCATCATCCTCGTCGTCTTCGTCTTCGTCCTCATTCTCGTCATCCTCGTCCTCGAGGTTCATGATGTGGTTCTTCATGAAGTTTTCCAGATCTGCGTCAGCTCCGGTGAGCTCCTTACCGGCATTCTCGTCTTCGGCTGCATCTTCCTCCTCATCCTCATCCTCATCCTCATCCTTCTGCTTCTTCTTTGAATCTCTTTCCTCTTCCCTGGCGCCGTTGGCCTTGTCCCATTCATCCTTGCCCACAGCCCAATCAACGGCAATGGTTCTTCCGTCAATGGTTTTTCCGTTCATCTCCAAAGCCTTCTCGGCATTTTTCCTGCCGCGAAGGGTAACGAAACCAAATCCTTTGAGCTTGCCCTTGTTCTGGGGAAGGTCCGCGAACTTGACAATGCCATAGGCGCGGAAAAGCGCACCCAGCTGCGCAGAAGACTTGATAGACCAAGGAAGGTTGCGAATGATCAACTTCGGGGCTTTCCTCGCTTCCTCAAGATCATCCGCACGCTTTTGCTTTGCGCTAGATGCGGCGGCGCCAACGGCACTCTCTTTTGCGTCACGAGTTCTAGCTTCGGCAACATCGACCTTGATGCGGCGTCCCTCCCAAAGAATGTTGTTGAGCTTTTTCTTGGCCTCCGTAGCATCCTCAGCATCTGTCAATGTAACGAAGCCATAGCCTCGGGAAGCTTTGGTCGCCTTGTCGAGAACGACGGTCGCATGCTTGACAGGGAAATGTTCGGAGAAGAAATCGGTGAGCGATTCGCTGGTGGCGGTCGCAGGCAGGGAGCGAACGAAAAGAGAGCGGTTGGCTTCTGTTCGGGCCTTCTTGGCTTTCGGTTCCGACACAGCGTCTGCGGCGATGTTCTCTGCGACGGCGGCTGCGACGAGAGCATCGTGCTCGTCTTCCTCCGCTCGTGACCGCTTGAGCGGCTTTCCGGGAGACGACATGTTGTGCAGTAGAAATTGAAATAAAATAAAACCTCTGCGAGCGGTTTCCGAAGAAAAAAAACGCAGTACGTAAAAGCTGAAAACCTCAACTATCGTAGGAGGTTGTGGAGAGGCTTCATTCTCTGTGCAGGAAATGGCTGGCAATTCGTTGCTGCCAAATTCTTCGATAAGGATTTTTTTCTGAGCTTATCACCACGTGCGGGCACTTGGAGTCGGGAAGCGGGGATGAAGTTGACCGACCCCGCGCTATACCTGTTTCGGAAGTCTATTGACTTGCCCGTTGCAGACTGGATAAAAACAAAAACGCGCCGGGGGGTAAGTCACCCACTGTAATTGTGTGCGTTGGCAGCTAATTCGCCAACGGGACGCCTGTCATCCGTCATCTAGACAAATCAACAAACACATCATTTTTTGACTTCATTAACAACGACAACTTTTCCCACGTTTCACGCGGTCTCGACCGATACGCCGCCATATAACGACAATACACGACGACAAACCTCATTATGCCGGCACGAGTATCGACGAGGTCCACGAGGACCTCAGCGGCAGTGTCGCACAAATCCTCCGCAGCGACCCTAGGCTCCCGAGCATCAACAGCGTCCCGCTCCTCATCAGTCGCCGCAGATATCCCGACCGAAAGACCGGACAGTGAGCTCCGTGGCCAAGTATGCGCTGTGTTCCGCGATGCGCAAAGAAATACGGCATCGCACCGCAAGTTGGTTGTCACATTGCGCAAGATTCAGGAAGCTTGCGCATACGAACCGACCAGTCTAAAGAAGACCGCAGCAAACGACTTCGATGAGGAAGCCTTCAACTCCGAGTTCGTTCGATGTGTTCTGAGAGTCATGCCTATCAAGAAGGCAGAGAGTGTCGGAGAGAAGACAATTCGGTTTGTCGGGTTCTTCCTTCGACACGCCAACGACAAAGACAACGAGATTCTTGGAGAGGTCGACGAGGATGCTAGCATCATGCCCGAGACTCCAAGCACAAGACTCACCAGCTATCTCATGAGCACGATTTTGCCCCTGATGACGGCCAAGGACAAGTTTGTCCGATACCGATCCACCCAGTTGATCTCTCACATCATCAACTCCCTCGACGCCATCGACGACGATCTCTTCCAAAAACTTCGCCATGGTCTTCTTAAGCGTATCCGTGACAAGGAGGCAATGGTTCGTGCACAGGCGGTCCTGGGTCTAGGACGTTTGGCCGGCAACCAGGTTGATGCGGCCGCAAACGAGGACGGTAGCGAGGACGACGAGGCTAGCGGCCTTCTCGAGAAGCTGCTAGAGGTTATACAGAACGATCCAAGCGCAGATGTGAGAAGGTCACTTCTCGTAAATCTCCCCATTCTCCCATCTACCCTACCATACTTGCTCGAACGCGCTAGAGACCAAGATGCTCTGACTCGCAGAGCGGTGTACTCGCGACTGCTACCCGCCCTCGGCGATTTCCGACATCTTTCTCTCTCAATGAGAGAGAAGCTCCTCCGATGGGGTCTCCGCGACAGAGACGAGAATGTCCGCAAGTCAGCGGGCAGGCTGTTCCGCGAACGTTGGATCGAGGACTGTGCTGGTGTTCCGCCGCCTGAGGAGGGAGCGCCACCCGCTGAACCTGCACCACCAAATTTCGACGGTCTCCATGAGCTCCTGGAGCGCATCGACGTCGTAAACTCTGGGGTGGAGAATGGCGTCGCCCTCGAGGCGATGAAGGGATTCTGGGAGGGTAGACCCGATTACAGAGAAGCTGTCACCTTTGATAAGAACTTTTGGGAGACACTTTCTGCAGAGTCAGTCTTCACCGCTCGCAGTTTCAACGACTTCTGCAGAACCGAGGGCAATGGCAAGTACGAGTCTTTGGTCGAGGAGAAGCTGCCTGAAGTGACTACGCTCGCATTCTATCTCGAAAGATATCTCGGCGTCCTGATTGAGGCTATCAAGAGAGTCTCTCAGGCAGATAGCGAAGAGGATGAAGAGGAGGACACGGTAGAGCAAGAGTTCATTGTTGAGCAGATGCTCCACATTGCCATCACTCTTGATTACTCTGACGAGGTTGGCCGTCGCAAGATGTTTGCGCTCCTCCGTCAATCCCTCTCAGTCCCCGAGCTCCCTGACGATGTAACAAAGCTCACGATCAATGTTCTCCGAGACATTTGTGCTCCCGACAACGCCGGCGAGAAGGAGTTCTGTTCGGTGGTGCTGGAGGCCGTTGCCGACGTTCACGATACTATCGTCGACGACCCAGCGCCCGATGACCGTACGGATGACAGCTTTCACTCAGCGAGGTCCGAGGTCAGTGGTGACACCACTCCCACGAGGAGTGGGAGCCGGAATAAGAGTCCCGAGCTCAGTGAAGAGGAGGCCAGGGCAAAGGCAGTCAAGGAAATCATGATCAACATGAAGTGTCTGCATATTGTGCAGTGCATGTTATCAAATGTCGCTGGCGACCTGCAGCAGAACGACCACCTGGTGTCGATGCTTAACAATCTTGTCGTCCCAGCTGTGCGAAGTCACGAAGCACCCGTCCGTGAGAGGGGCCTCGTCTGCTTGGGTCTCTGCTCCCTGCTCGACAGGTCACTGGCCGAGGAGAACCTGACGCTCTTCATGCACTTCTTTACCAAGGGCCACACTGCCCTCCAAATCACCGCGTTGCAGATTCTCACTGATATCCTCAACGTCCATGGCGCTCAGCTATTGAGCTCGACGCCAGCTTTGCTCAAGATCTACATCAAGGCGCTCAAGTCGGGCATCAGATCGCCCGAGGTCCAGGCTGCCGCTACCTTGGCAGTATCCAAGCTGCTTTTGGGCCGTGTTGTCACGGACCAGGAAGCTTCCGCGGAAATGCTCAAGACGCTGGTTGTCCAGTACTTCGATCCCGTCACTGCTTCCAACCAGAGCGTCAGGCAGGCTCTCAACTATTTCCTGCCCGTTTTCTGCTACTCACGGGCGGAGAACCAGGATCTCATGCGCACCGTCGCTCTGGACGCCCTGCATGCCTTGTTGAATGTCCGTGAGAACTTGGAAGACGATGACGCCGATGTCAATGAGGAGATGGAGAGTCTGACGACGATTGGTGCTTGCCTGGTGGACTGGACTGATCCTCGCAAGTGCTTCAACCCTGCTACTGGGCTTGACTTGGAGAAGAAGACTGTCAATGGTGATATTCACCTGGAATTTGCACTGGACATTCTGGACCGTTTAGGCGGGAACTTGAGCAGTAAGTCATTTCATTGCTACCCACTCAAAAAACACTGGTGCTAACCCATCATCTCAGAGGAAGAGAAGAAGGTGGTCGCACCTCTCCTCGGAAAGCTGTACATCTCGCCCACGAGCACGGAAGAGAAGATTAGGGAGGTATACGACGAGATTACCATCGCCGTCAACGACAAGCTCGTCACGGACACCACGGGCCGCAACGCCCTCAACAAGATTCATGTCAGCCTAGGCAAGATCGTCGCCAACCTCGGCGAGCAGCAGGACGGCGAGCCGCGCCGCATGAGCAGGAGCGTCTCCGTCGCCATGTCGCGTGCGGACTCGGTCGCGCCGTCTGTCGCCGGTTCTGTTGCGTCCTCAAGGATGCACGACGCCGACGAGGACAAGACTGTTACGATGGAACCTGATATTAAGGAGGAAGACGAGAATAGCGATGATACCGTGATTCAGAACACGCGGCAGGGCGACGGTGACTCTATAGTGAGCGAGCTGCTCTCAGATGAGGAGGGCGCGTGAGTGAGTGTCATGGCAAATGGGACGGCTTCTTTGAATTCGGGTGGTATGTTTTGGCTTGACGGATACCTATCCCCGGGTCTCGGGAGCATTGCGGAATGGGTTTCTCTACAAGAATTTATGATCTATGTACTAGTAATGATGAACTCCTTGCAGGATTGATAATGCCTTTGCTGTTTTTTTTCGTTGTTCCAAACGTCCTGCTTAGTATTACAAGCCTGCTACCTACAGTAGGTAGTTGGCGAAAGTGGTGAATGCTTCGTATATCAAGCCGATCCCAAGCGGTACAGCAAACCAGCAAACACAACGTTAACGAGGAGATGCTGCCCAATGGTCCAAGCCAAGCAGTACAGGTACTTTGGCGAGAAGACGGTCCAGACAAACAGGTGCGTCCGCAGCGCCTCGCATGCCACCATGACGAACGCCACGCTGCATGCCGTGAACAAGGTCATGTGCCCTACGTGTCGCAAAAACACATGCCTGCCCTCATCGCTTCCGGCCCTGCGGTTGCGGTACTGCAGGAGGAGTAGGTTCGTCGCGGACGCCCAGTAGATGGGGCCCACCCAGTTGCTCACGAAGGTCAGGATGCCGACGGCGACGACGTTGAAACCCGCCACGCCGTTGTAGGCGCTCGAGAGGTCGACGGAGGAGATTGCGTTTGTGCCGCCAAAGGCGAAGAAGGAGGCGTACTGGAGGAGGAGGGAGGTCGTCGATAGGAGGGGCAGAGAGAGGTCGAGGGAGGCGAGAAGGGGTAGTTGGAGGGTGAAGAGGAGGAGGAGGGGGATGTTTGTGACGCGGGATTGAGTTGCGAGGAGGAGGGTGATGAGGTGGTGGAGGAGGGGAGATGTGTGTCGTGCTTCGGTTTTTGGGTTGGAGAGGGCTAGGTAGGATGAGTAAAGGGCTGCGGCGCCGATGCCGACGAAGACGACGCGGGCTCGGGCGACGAGGGAGACGCCCTGGGCGAGGGTGTTGAGGGTTGCCAAAGGGCCGGTCACGAGCTCCGGAGCGTCTTCGTTGGTGAAGGCGAGCTTGAAAGTGAAAGCGGAGAGGACTAGAAGAGCCGATGCAGCTGTCACGGCGGCGCGAGGAAGGCCGCGGAGTTTTCTGAGGAGTTGTATGAAGAGGAAGAGATATGTTACGCTGACGAGGGTCCAAAGGACGGCAGGGCGTGTGACGACGAAGGTCTTGGCGATATCGGGCTCGCCGGCGTGCTTCTGGCCCGTCTGGTTCCATCCCCGGATCAGTCTGGTTGCTGTCAGAGCGATGAGAAGAGATGCGAGTGTTCCGAATGGCGACCGGGTCCTGTAGTTCATGTCAGTTTTTGTGATTGTGGGTGCTAACAGTATGCTTGGCACTTACGACTGCATCTTTTTGATGCCCATGGAGCCCAGCCAGGCCGATGTAGCCCAATACCAAAAATGGTGTTCTTCCTCGACGTAGCTACTCGCAAACATCATGATGCCGTATGTGACTGAGATGGCCAGCAGCGGTATGAGACTAAGTCGAGCACCGAAGATTAGGGAGCCGGTAACGAGGCCGACGACTGCTTCGCCGATATGTAGCCTTCCCATGTCGTAGTTGCTGGCCATACTGCTCATCAGATCCTGAGCACTGCTGAGCCACTGTTGGATGTCAGCAGAGTTCCATGGTTTGATACACCGAAGTCAGAGTGTTAACGTACCTTTGACATGGTTTCACGCCAGGCAGGATCTAGCTCGGCCTCGTCATCCATGGTTTTAAGTGCATCGTTGACGCGATGCCATTCACAAGCGAGCTCCTGGGCATCATCTCGAGGATTCGAGCACGTCTTTTGGTCAAAGGCAGACCCCAGGTCAAACATCTCGGGGCCAAAAGTTGCTGTCACAATGTTTAGAATCTGGCGGGCATTGCGGACGAGCAATTGGATTTGATCATTTCCTGCCAAGTGTGAGCTACTACGCAATCGTAATGGGGGCCCGCATCAACTCACTGTCGGGCCAAAAAGGGAGGAAGTCGGATATGAAGGCGCCGAGATTGTTTTGCGGCACCGGGAAGCCCAGCAGAGCACCGAGAGTGGGTGCCAGGTCTGACTGCTCAATCTTGGTGTAGTAGGAAAAGTCCTCTCGAAACGGAACAGGGGCTTGAAGGTTCCGTTCCAAGGCCTTCAGTTTGGGAGATATGAACACGAGCGCTGGGGAGGTTTCTCCGGGGGAAGAAGCTCCATGATTGCCAGCATCGTTCATACCGTGATCTCCGCAGAGAACCATCAGTGTGGAAGACATGTGTTCTCGTGATTCCATGGCGTTGTATATACGCTCCACGATACCATCCATCTCATGTTGTTTTGGTACCATGTGTGAGCTGACAATAGTCAGCAAGGGGGGCTCAAAAGGCAATGCAAAGCTGATCTTACCTTCGTGGTCCTGATTTATGCCCGATGTGATCGAGGCCAAGGTAGTGGAGAACTAACGTGCTCCAGTCATCATTCTTCAATTCGCTGTCTATGTGCCTGGTGACATTGTTGTCCACCTCGGTGAAGTCCTTGAACCAGTCAGTTAAGGGACAGGGAGGGATGAACCATAAAGACAACGCACTGCTACGAAGAAGCTCGCGGTGCCATCGGCACGGTCAAAAGTGCCCGGGAAGAGCTTCAGCCATGTGTCATCGCCGTACATGAGCATCTTCCCCGTCTCCTTGGCTTTCATCTGGGCAAGCCAGGTGTCTTGAGCAGCGAGAGTCGAGGACGAGTCTGCTTCGTCCAGGTTCAAGATGACGTCCAGGAAAGACGGGATCGAACCGGTGGTGATGGCTTTGATTCTCGGCATGGTGACGGTTGGTGACCGCGCATACGCCGTGAAAGGCAGGGCGGCACCATCGCGGATGAGTCTATAACATGGTTAATACGGTGGGAGTGAGACGGTAGGGTGCCTGTCGGCGTACTCTTGAGTGTATGTGAAGCCGGTACCGTTCAAGTACACGAAATCGCTGTCATTATGTTAACATTATCGAATAACCAGGGGTAGTGTGAGCAGCATTCACCTTCGCAATGCATCGACAACCATAAAAATGAGGCGGTCGAAGGGTGCCGATGGCGGCGGGCCATACTCAAGAGCCTCATACTGAGCCAAACCTGGTAGAACCGGCTTATACGGAAAGAAGCCGGTAGCAAAAGTGAAAACCGCCAGGGGAATCAGGATGTTGGCGATTGTGAGAAGAGCTGCCAGGAAGCCCGGGCCGTACCGAAAAGACATGTTCGTCGCGTATCCATCAAGATGACCTTTGGCCGCAGGATAGCAATAAGAAGGCCACGTTTACTTTCGGTGTGTTATTGAAGCTGTCGAGTTTGGTGGCTTGAAAACAGAGTCATCACGTTCAGAATGCAGCTGGCTTATTCGATCATGATGCGACAAGGGATGAACGGCGGGCAAGCCACGGTGAGATGGAAGACGGGTGAAGTCGCCAATCTGCAGGCAACGGTGGCAGTTCCGTCAAGGTTCTCGGGATCCAGTCGTTTAAACCCCAAATGGGCAAAGCGAGTGTCCAGCAGGCGGAGCAAAGAGCTAAAGAGTATGCGTAAGGTATCCGTAGGGATGGTAAGGTATCGAGGTACGAAGTAATCAGGTAGATAATTACCCTGGTACATCGCTAGGCATGATGGACATGACAGGACCTCGGGAGCTGAGAGGACACTGTAACAGCTCTTGCACAGGGATGACATACACCGAATTGGAGGGAGTGACGCCTGGACGGTGATTGGCCGAGAACATAGTAGGAGAGTCCGAGCAGAGAGAACCCCAGCCGACACGAGCAGTAGGTATTCTTCCGCTTCACCCGGCGCAGCACTGAGTATCAACGATTGAAGTACGTTCAAAGGGTTATTAACGTGAAGAAATCGGGGGTTGATAGTGATTCTTCATTATTCGTCTGGCAGCTATTTGGCCATGCCCAGTGCCATGTCTACCCGTCTATCAACTTTTTGACCGCTTCTCCAATGTACTCTCTCAATGGGGTGAAAAGTGTGAAATGACCCCCCAAAATAACCGATGAAAATTTTAGTATCCCACTATTCACAAGAACGCCGGAAAAGGAATTGGATATCTCCAGGAACGAGTCCCTCATCACGAGACTCGCCGGGTGAGCGCGCTACTTTTTTCTTGAATGAGCGCGACTCTTCGCCCATGATGCTGCAAAAGGCGATGGGAACGACCAGTGAAAGGACACAAGCCTTTACTTTCTCTTGGAAACTCCGCCCTTGGAGCCTCCACGACGGTCGCTGTACTTGGGGAAGACGACCTTGGAAGTCTTCTTCCTTTGCTTCTGGATTCTTCCAGAGCGACGCTTGGGTTTCGCCGAGTCAACATCCATGGCTGTGACGAGAGTCAGTCTTTGTGAGTCGGAACTATTGTGTGAGCTCAGCTTACAGGTATCATCCGCCTTGGCCTCCTTCTTCTCATCGTCACCGTTGATTTCCGCTTTAGGATCGTCAGTTTCGAAACTTTTTGCCTCATGGAATGGCCTTGGAAAATGGCTGGGAACTCACCATCGTCGTCCTCCTCAACATCCATCTTGGTGTCTGCCTCCCTCTCGGGCTTGGGAGCCTTTGCCAATTCTAGCAGCTTCGCCGAGAGACGCTCGGCTCTGGCCTGCTCAACGGGACCAAAGACATTTGCCTTGAGTCTCTGGTTGTTCTTCTTGATAACGCTGGCTCTCGCGCTTTTGGCCATTGCTGCGGATATGTGCCGGGCGGCGTGGTGTTTATGAAGGATTTGAGGTGACGACTCGCTGCGTCTATACAGGCAAGAAACGAGCAACAGGCTGAATGAAAAACAACCTTAATATGGCTTGGATTACTGAGGAACGTCGAGGATTCAAAGTCGGTGAAAGTGACCATGTGAAAGCAAACGGTCTTCACTGAGTGATGGTAGGAAATTTTACACAGGTGGTTGCAGCCGTGCCCCGCCTGCCAATCCAGTCGTCCAGTCAGGAAGGGTATGCAGGCCGCAGCGCTTTGGACGGCAGCAATCCACCACCCTGGCGTCTCACTCACATGGGCTAGACCACCTTCACCTCAGTCCATAAGCCGTCGCGGGGGCTGCCGGCTATTCACACCCCCACATCCGTCCAAACCTCAACACCTGGAAGGCGCCTCTGGCTGACGGTGGTTTCCAGAATGGGACGGGCGATAGGTAGGTAGGTCTTTTGGTTTCTCGCCTGCGTTGTCCGCTTCTTAGGGGGCACAGATGCTGAAACAACGACGGACCACCCACTAGAGAGCGATCGATTCAGGCTCTCACCTGCCCGACGGGGACGTTTAACTGCGCACTCTCCCCTAAGAAAGGCCACACAGAGCCGCCATTTCGTGCCTATCATACTTCCCAGTGTACACATCATCATCGAGTCTCGCCAATTGTGTATCTCACCTCACCAGTTCACTCGGATATCTCACCTTCACGCCTCACTTGCCTTAATTTAGGCCCACACCCAAAGTAAGGCTCGGTTGCCGCTGCAGTCGCAAGGTATTGAGCTGTGGTGGGCTCCTACCCGTTCAGCGACTACCGTCTTCACAGAGCCCCAAAAGGCCGACAGTCGCGAATGACATCAAACCTTTGCCGACCCAAGAAATGGCCCATGGCCTAGTTTGACCTCACTTCATCCTTACGCTCGACTGATGCCATTGCTCTTGCCTTGGGCATCGATGTCATATTCATAGGTGCTACTGCTCGATGCACTAAATTTCGTATCGGTGGGTGAGTGCATTACCTATTTCGCACACATCAAGATCGCTATCTGCTATTTGTTGTCGCATTTGGGAACACTGTTATATCCCTCTGCCTGTCTCCATCATCGCAAAGCAGACGGGAGAGTGAAGAAGAAGAAGAAAAAAAGGCGGAAAGGGCAGCACGGCAGCAGAGCCGCCGCCACCACCATCCACCAAGCAGTACAGACGGGACGGGAGCTACCTACCCTGCCCTTGCCTTCCTCGACCGACCCAACTGCAACTTCCCCACGCACTTTTGGCTCTTGCCTGTCGGCGCGCACCACGAGCCTCGTCGCTCCTGCCTCGTGTGGTCGCGCCCATGACTGTTACTTTCACTTCGGGCCCGTCGTTCTTCTTCTCTTCTTTGCTTTGCACCCATTCCTCAGCCGACGACTTTAACGCAGAGACGTATCCGCCGCATTATCCCACGGCCTGTCGACGGCGCCTCTAGGTACCAACGACCGAAGTCGATCCGACGTCGCACCCGCGAACCTTCATGAGGCTGTCACCGAAGACACCACCACAACCCCTTCACCTCGCCCGAGAACCATGACCTCCATACAGAGGCATGAGCTCCAGGCTCTGGTCAAGCTGGTGAACAGCAACCAGCTTCTGAACCGCCAATTATCCCAAATCTGTCAGCTCAACGGGCTCACTAGCAGCGGCGTTAAGGCGGCTCTGCAAAGTCGCATCGTCAGTGGTGAGTACTTTTCCTTCTTGAGCCCTTTCGGCCGCCTGAGATACCTCCTTTTGCGCTCCTTCCCCGATTCCAGCTCTTTCACGGGCACTGCTGTGTCTGAGCATTGCTCCAGGCAGCGAAGTTTGCTTCTCAGAACGACCTATGGCTAATGTCTTTTGCCCGTCAGCTATCGAAGAAGCCTTCAAGAACAGCGACGCGACTCGCTTCCAGCAAATACAACGAAGCATCGAGACCACAAGAACCGGCTCCTCCGCTTCGCCCGCTTCTCAGAAGGGTGGACGCCCTGCCACAGCCACTCCGCCAGTGTCAATGATGCGGCAAGACCAATACTGGGGGCGCAATGCCCGTCCCAGCGGTGCAAATGGCCCTGCTCTGCCCGGTTACGGATCAAGCGGTACGCCATTCGCTCAAAAATCCTTTGAATAAACGCCTAATTTTGATGCAGGGCTTTCCTTCAAGAACAGTCCCTTCTACGAGATCCAGTTTCGGGTTGGCGATGTGCGCTCGTGCGATGGTAGGCCGCCATTTCAAGTTTCATCTTGGCCGTTGCTAATTTACCCATCAGCTATGAGCCAGCATAGAAACATGGTCTCCATTCCAGTCAAAGTCAGCGATAATCCTCATCTGAATAGAGTTCTCGATGACAAGTCACTACGCATCATGGTCTTCTGCGCCGGAGACAGCAATGGCGTCCAGGACATTGCGTTTCCTCATCAGTCGGAGATCAAGGTCAACGGCAACGAAGTCAAGGCGAATCTCAGAGGCTTGAAGAACAAGCCAGGTTCGACGAGGCCAGTCGACATTACGAGCTATTTGCGTCTGAAAAATGACAACAGAAATCTCGTTGAGTTCACTTACGCGTTGACTCAAAAGGTGGGCTGCCTTAAACTAACGACCCTCAATACTCTGCTTCGTCTTTTGCCGCTGACACTCAGTCTGTCTGCAGAAATTCTATCTTGTCCTCAACGTCTGCCGTATCACCTCGGCGCAGGACCTGGCCGACAACATCAAGAAGGGGCAGAAAATCCCCAAAAACAAGGTGATTGAAGAGAGTAAGTTTTGCCGATTTACTCCAATACTATCAATACTATCAATACTATCAATAAGAGACTAAAACCTTCCAGTCAGCAAGAAAGCGGCGGACACAGATATCGTCACGACGTCTCAAGTCCTGTCTCTTAAGTGTCCTCTATCCTACATGCGTCTCGATGTCCCGTGCCGCTCTGTCAACTGTTCGCACATTCAGTGTTTCGACGCAACGTCATACCTACAATTGCAAGAGCAGGGTCCTCAGTGGCTTTGCCCGATTTGCAATAAACCGGCGCCATACACACAGCTGGCCGTTGACGAGTAAGTTCCATGTCTCACCCCCATGATATCTAGCTAACAGCCGTCAAAGGTACGTCAGAGACATCCTAGCGAACACGTCAAAGTCCCTCGATCAGGTCACCATTGAACCAGACGGACAATGGCGAGTGAACACAGGACAGGACGAGAACAGGCCGACCAATGGTGGAAGCGGCCTTGTTGACGATGACGATGATGATGACGACGACTGGGGTATCGTGGAGGTCAACCCCGTTCGCAGTCGAAACTTCGAAACCCCCAATCGGTCAGTCGCCAGCACGGCAACTCCGACGACAACAGTGATGTCTCGAGAAAGCTCCACGATGCCGCGGGGCGTGGCCACAACAAGCGCCAAGAGATTACATTCGGATAGGGTGACGATAGACCTGACCCTATCAGACGATGATGAGCCAGCTGCACCGCCTCCGAAGCGGCAGCAATTACAGGGGCCGGGTTCAAGCAACTATAACAGCAATGGTTACAGCAGCAGCATGTTCTGAGGAGGCTACCCTGGCAGTATTCAGCAATGAGTTGCGAGATACGGAGCATGAGGTTGGTCGCCTCAGTCAGCACATACATACTTCCCTACCTAATGAAGGCGGATTTGTGGCTCATGTATGCGTTTTTTTCTTTCGGCGTGGAAAGGGACGGATGGATAGCTGTCCAGGCGTTTAGGGGCAAAACATATTCCAGCAGCCCTAGCAGCCTTATGCCATAAGTAGGCATGAAGCAGGGCGACAACGAGCTTTACTTAGATGTGAGGTAGAGACTTTGCCAGCTTGGTACCTTAGGAAAGCGAGAGGTACAAATACCAAAAACTACGCTGCGGATATCACATCCGTACAACAAGATGAAATCACACTGAGGGCTCTCCTCTTCGTCCACGTCCATCATTACTCGTCGTAATCGTGTCCCAATATAACGCTCAATTTGTCTACTGTAATTCCTGTCGAAGCGCAATTGAAGCTCTGGTGGGTGGACCCTGAAGAGCTCCACAGCATTGTCAAAGCAGGTACGTACCTGGCCACGCTCTTTGGTACCTCAGTGAAGGTAACCTACCTTAAGGTAAGGTAGGTAGCGCCTTCGATCGTTCATCCACCTCCAGCTACCTGCTACCTACCTTGAACCGCACACAGCCCCGGCGACACAAAGTCCAAAAGTACTCCTACGATTTCCTGCAAGAGCTATTGCATCTACGCCATCTCTGATTCCACGCCGAGCCGAATCTTACGAACCTCGTCGCCCAATCTCCATTGCCCTTGGATCAGCACCAAGCTTTCCACCGCAATCGAGTTCTAGAAAGACAAACGAAGCATACTCGAGAAAGCCAATAACCGCGCGAAGCCCTCCTCGACGAAGCCAGAAAGCAAAGCGACTATACTTTCACCCCCATACCACAATCAGAATCCTAGCCAGCAAGAAACCATGTCCTTCGAAAGCGTCATGCCGCCGTACAACGCCACGGACCCGTCAGCCTCCTTCCTCAACTCCTCCTGTCTAGACTTCCTCCTCATCGAGCTCGTGCCCATGGCCTTTCGCGTGACGAGAGACCTCGAAGCCGCGCCGACTGATGCGAATGGTACCAGTGGCGGTGGTGCAGCAGGAGGAGGTGCTTCAGCTGACGCGCTGTCGTCGGTGAGCCACAGCCAGGGCGGGGGAGCAGACGGAGGTCCCGCGCCGTCGAGCGCGGACGGGGCTGCGGGCGGGAGCACAGTCAGGAAGCTGGATGAGGACGAAGAGCGCGATGCGGTGTTTTATCGGTTGGAGACGCTGGGGTATCGTGTTGGGCAGGGGCTTGTTGAGAGGTACGTTTCCTGTTGTGCCTCCTTCCGCTTCTTTCTCCGCGCCGTCTCCGACGATAGCAAGGGGCGGATGAAGACACAACGTTGGGATTTTACAACGATTGGAAGCTGACCGTCTGTGAACTTGGGTGTTTAGGTTCTCGAGAGACCGGCCACGATTCAACGATACGCTCGACGTCATCAAGTTTGTCTGCAAGGACCTTTGGTCACTTGTGTTTAGGAAACAGATTGACAACCTCAAGACGAATCACAGGGTACGTCGGCGATATTTCCCCCCTGCCTACTGGAAGTTTTGGTCAAGGGCGACACTTCAGACGAGCGACTTGGGAATTGCATGGCTAATCTGGTCCATTGGAATAGGGCGTTTATGTACTGACAGACAACTCGTTCAAACCGTTCTCGAGGATGAGTACAGAAGCTGGCGGACAGGCGGTTGTTCGGGCACAGCCGGTACGCTTAAAACTTCGCCCATCTAACAATGCTACAACCTCCAGGATGCTGACTTGTCCGACTATAGTTCCTCTGGTTCCCGTGCGGCATTGTGCGCGGAGCGCTGGCGGCGCTTGGTATCAATGCCACCGTCCAGGCCGAGACAAACGAGCTACCCGCAGCTATTTTCCAAATCAAGACCCTGCCGTCGAGCACATAATACCCAACTTCACGTATTGCGAAGCCCCTGTCCCAAACAAATGGCGCGTCGGGAAAACATATGGAAGTGTCAATGACACAGCAGGCAAGCGTTGAAAGATTTTAGACTTATTGCAGAATATCGACCAAAGATCTGGTCATTCGAGTTGATGCCCAAGGTGTCTAACTCCAATTACAAACCAGCAGCAATTATCGCCATATCCAAAATTACCGACGCCGTTGCCCTACGTACCGCGGATTCAAGAGATCTCAACTGGTGTTATATACGCTGGTCAAACATACACTTGCGAGACCAACAACACCTCACAGCCTAGGAAAAAGAAGAGTCGATCAGCCATAATTCTCCCTCGGTTGTATTTCATCTATCACCATTTTTGGCTACATCGTTGGAAGCTGTCGTCATGCGGCTTCCTCGAGAGGGGGTCGGGGGCTGTTACTGAAAACAAGTGTACAAAGGGGGGAATCACTTTTGGGGAGCCTTGTGGGCGAACTCGACACCCTTCTGAATGTTGCCCTTCAATCCCGCAACCGCAGCCTCCAGAAGCTTCTGCTCCTTCTCTGTGATGTCGCCAAGAATGTCGATGGCCTTCTCAGCGCCGTTGGGCTACGAATATGTCAGTATGGCCCGTTTAGATTTGGGGGGACAGGATAGATTGCTGTGCAACTTACGCCAAGCTCGATGGGAACGGAGAAGAAGTCGACGCCGGTCTTCTTGGCAATCTCCTCGCCGCCGGGAACGCCGGGGAGGTAGACGTAGCTTGGCTCAACAAGACCCTTCTCGCCCTTAAGGGCCTTGAGGACCTTCTCGGCGAATCTATCACACGTCAGTCCCTGACCTTTAAGTTGCCGAGCGTCCGATTTCTTACCTGTAGCCAGCGTAGGCCATGGAGAGAGTGGCAGAACCAGCGCCATCCTTGGCCTTGACAACCTCGTCACCACCGAACTGGACACGGTTGACAAGAGCATCGTACTTGTCGTCGGCGATGGACACTGAAGGCTTGACCTTGCTGAAGAGGGGAACAATGGTCTCGCCGGAGTGACCGCCAATAACGGGAACATTGAGCTCGCTGGTGGACTTGCCGGAGATCTCAGCAACGAAGGTCTCGGCTCTGACAATATCGAGAGTTGTGACACCGAACAGACGCTGAGGGTTGAAGACGCCCTTGGCCTTCAGAACCTCGGCGGAAATAGGGACGGTAGAGTTGACGGGGTTGGAGATGACAAGGATGAAGGCCTTGGGGGCGACCTCGGCCGCAACCTCGATGAGGCCCTTGACGATACCGGCATTGATATTGAAGAGATCGTCGCGGGTCATGCCAGGCTTGCCTAGAGTGGATTTTCCGTTAAAAAGAAGCAGCGGACGAGGCTCCGCAGGTGTAACTCACGAGGAATACCAGCGGGAATGACGATGATATCAGCATCCTTGAAGGCGGCCTTAGCGCCATCATCCTTGGGCAGGTAGCCGGCGATCTTCTGTTTGTGGCATCTTTGTTCAGCAAGCTATCGATACTACGAGTGCCACGAGGCAATTGAGACTGCGATGAAACGTACCGCATTGGAAGAGATGTGAGAGAGATCGGTGGCGACGCCGGGGGTGTTAACGACATCGTACAAGGCAAGCTCATCGACGAGGGGAGAGAGCTTGAGGAGAAGGGACAGAGGCTAGAGTAGACAGGTTGATGGTGAGCAATGCGCACGTTATTTGCTGACCACGCGGGGTTCCGGATTCACTGTACCTGTCCAATACCGCCAGAGGCGCCAGCAACAACTAAGAAATGGTGAGATTGACGAGGCTTTGCGCGATAGTCTCAGGTGGTGGGAACTTACCGGCCTTGACCATTTTGATTGTGATTTCTTGTTATTCGGTTTGGGAGAGGAGATGGATGAAGGAGGAGGGTGGCCTGAAGGGTTCTCTCGGATTAGCGGGGTGATCTTGGAGCTTGCTCGCTTAACAAGTCGAGCTCTGGCGCATGGTACGAGACCAAGTGTGGGGAGCTCTCGCTACAATCATCCAAGCTTGTCAAGTACTAAGGTGAGGGGGGGGGAGAGGTCGTCATCAAACGTACAGTGGTCAGATAAACTGAAGGTTTTGCTTGTAAGATGGAAGATGTGTGAAGACGATTCTCACAAGAGCGGGAGATCGTTTGCTTTAGTATGAAAGGGGAGAGCAAGAGAGGAGAAGCAAACCGAGCCAAGGTTACGTACAAGTAGTCTGAGCCAGCTGATACCTAGTCCGGAGGCTGTCGGCGGGGACGTAGGTTCAACCGCGGGGAGAATTGCGACCTTTGGTTTCCCACCCCTCGTCCCGTGGGACTTTGCCTGTGTTATTGGATGGAGGGGTCAAAAAGAGGGGCAACTTGGAGGGGTGAGAAGGGGACCATGGGGGGCCGCTCCTGAGGCAGGGCAGGCACGGGGGGTTCAAGTTTCCATTGTACGTAGCTCTTGCCCGCTCCTCCATGGCTCCTCGAGGTGAGGTGGTAGCGGCGGCAGGCGCCAGTAATGCGCAGAAAAGCGACTCGACAGCAGCACTGCGGGTGTAGTTACCTTACGGCATTGTACCTCATGTACTGCGCCGCTGCACTCAGCAAGCCCGATCCTGTAGCTTATACTTGCTCGGTTGCGGTGCTTTATTAGCCGGACCAGTTGTTGCGTTGCTGCTTGCTTGATGGCCCTACTGCTGCTGTTTCGGGAATCGGAGCTGCAGAGTGGACAAAGAGAGAAGCAAGTGCAAGGTACCTTTCGGCTTGCCGCACCAGGGAATAGCTGTCGCAGATACCTCGTCATTCATCCCAAACAAAGGCGGCCACTGAGACAAGCCCAGCCCATGGAAGCAGTCACTGAAGGAAAGATAACGATACATTCTACAGGTACCTTAGGTGCCCTTGGTGCTCTCTGTCCATCACCCAGTGCTTGTTCAATACCTAGCACCGATTGCGCCAATCCCCTGCCACCAACGTCCTGCAACCAATTGCAACACCCGCCGTCAACCCGTTTTGTTCGCCATTCACCTCCGGTCTGATGCATGTGAGAGACGGACGAGGCTAACACGGTAATTCGAAGCTCGATTCCCCCCGTCAACTCCCGGCCAGCTGGACCAATGCCTTCCGATGTTTTCCTGCTGATGAACGGTCCCCCGTCCTCGTCCCGATGACCCGAGCTCCAGGGGTAGCTTGTTCCTATGTATAGCCAAAACTCGGGTGCGGGAACGGTAGAAACAAGAACGCAAAGGCGGGCCCCCGTTGTTCCTATGGAAAGCCTGTGACGTGCTTCAGACCGTGATAGCTATCATTATCCTCGGCGATGAGACAGCTCGGCAAAACATAAGCTGCGGGCCCTGTCTGTGGTGTTTGGGCGGGCGAGACAGCTCACTAAAAATACATATTCACTCGTTGTTCCTTCTGCAAGATTCAGATATTGCTCATGAAAAATGTGAGAATTACCTACATTGCGGCACGAATTACTCACAATATCAAGAGTACGTACCGTAGTGTTAGAAATGCCATGTTAAGGGCGATTATGCAACCCCGGCTGGCAAAATTACCCCGCCATGTATGCGCGGGTGCCATTCCACGTATCTCGATCAGGTCAATGTCGGCGAAGACTTACTCCGCGCAAGACGTAGACGCGTCTCTGTCTGTCACCGTTCATCAATACCCAAACAGCAGTCTACAATCAAAATCCCGTTCCGCTACACGATATTTTTCGGAGGTAACGTAGGAAGACAGTGTGGATCAAGCCGAACGGCACCCTCGACATCCCGATGCTTGCCCGTGGTCCCGAGGTTCAGCAGGAACTCGCCCTCTACTCTAGTCGGGCAACTCCGGGTGAGGGCCGAGGACCACGGCATCGACAATACCATGGCCCGTAGTCCGGCTACTGTGCTTTCTCGACGTCGGCCTCTTCGACCACCGTGACTCCACTTCCGCTCCGAGCTTTTCCTTTCTGTGTAGGCGCACGTCGTGGCATAAGACAAGGTATACTCCAACATGCATTATCGTCACCCGCCCAAGCCGTTGGCCCAAAGCCTCACAAATCCCTCACACGCATGGCACCAAATGCGAAGGGGGGAGTAGCAACACTCCTTGGAGCAAAGGAAAAACCAGTCCCAGTCATTATTTTGTGGCCTTTGACTCAAGCTTTTGATTTGTTTCGCCTGTGTCCCTCAAAAAGGTATTCTCTATTTGCTCGACGTAACGCCTAAACCAAGCCTGTTTCTTTCTCTTTTTTCGTCCCGCTAAATCAGCATTTCAACATTTATGCCTCAGCCTCGGCAGCGGCGGCGGCGGCCTTGGCCTTAACACCGCGGGGCTTCTTCTCGGGGGTGGCCTTGACGGCGCGCTGGGAGCGGCGGATAGCAGAGACGCGCTGGACAGCGGCCTCGCGGAGGTCGCCACGGTAGCCGCCGGCGGCAGCCTGGCGGGCAACGGCGGAGTAGGTCCTATGGTTCGACAGCCGTCAGTCATTTGTTCATTCTCCTGAATCCTTGTGCTTTCCCCGTTCCATGTGCCGTGTTACGACAACATGATTGTGGTTGAAGCGGTGGTCCAAAACTCACTTGCGGGAAGACTTGTTGCCGCCGTAGGTGACCTCGGTGTAACCCTTGGAGGGCTTGTTGAAGTTCTTCTGGTTCTTGCTGATCACCTTGACACCACCCTTCTCGTTGGGAACAACGCCGATGGCCTAATCGTCACATGTCAGTCATCTCTGTGCTAGGTGGTGTTGCGAATAGCGAATCGTTCGAGCGAGGGAGGAGTTCCGAGTTCGATCGGCTTGGGGTGTAATCGTACCTTGTCGTTAACGAAACCGGCGTACTGCGATCCCAAATTAGCCAAAGATGCCCTTCAACCCCGCCAGTGCTCTGACGATTCAATCTCAACATACCTTGCGGGAGTGCTTGTTGACCAGGTTAAGGGGGTCGCGGGAGAGCTGGAGACCGCCGGCGTCGTTGCGGTTGACCAGGAACGCATTCTGGGCGCCTGTATCGAGAAAAAAAGTAGTTGTGAGCAAAATTGCGCATTCAAGCCGTGTGCGCCATCGCTGGCAGCCGAGCGCCGCGGTGAAACTTACGGACGACCTCCCAGATCAGGTCGGCGGAAACGTTGGGCAGAGTGGCGGCCATTTTGACTGATTTGAGGGATCACGGAATGGTTGATGAATACCTTCACGATTGCTCTGATGCCGGTCTGCGTGTTCGTAGAATTCAATGGCCTGAATTGAATGTGTGGGCTATCGCTTAGCAGTCGCTTTGCGGACTAGCGTCTCTTGGGTCCACTCATTCAATCGGCGACGCCACACCAAGTTCCCCTCCGGGGCACAAAAGCCCTCCTCGGCGGGCCGGTATGGATGTGGCTGGTGATGGCGGTGCACTTGCATCCTGAACCGGCTCCAAGTACAACCTCGTTCCCTTGGAGAGAAGATGGATCTCGTCATGTAAGTCGACCGCAGAGGTCATTAGGTGATTCTTGTATTCCAGTCAAATTCAATACGATGTGGCCATAAAGAATTTTCGACTGCATGAACTTGGTTCTCAAATATACTCGCATGTGGCAGGCTCAAGCTCTCTCTTCGATCGGTTCAGGATTTAGAAAGTCGAGTGTTGCACCTGTTGCAACATCCGTGACTAGGCTCAAGAACTCGACATTCGCAAGACAATATCATAGAGCGCGGTCCTTGGATAAGGCCTGTGTGTCTATACCATTTCTAGTCTCTCCAAATTCCCCGGTTGACAGCATGTCCGAGATACGTATCCAATGAGCGAGATATTCATGGTGTTTGATCCGACGCACAAAAGTGAACCACACATCTGAGACCGACGCACTATATAGCGTCTAAGTGCCTAAAGTTTAGGCATCTCTCCGGAGAACCTTCGCTGACTGCCAATTCTTTAGTACCGAGTGTAGCTGATGGTTACCGTTCAAGTGATTCATACATATCCATCATTCGGCTCGATGTCATGCCATAGGGCCCAGCCTAGATACCCGGTAGACATGCCCCAATGCCAGGCCATAGCATCTTCTCTTCCCATTAACAAAACTCATTGGTCTTGTATGGGCGCATCTATCCAGTCTCTTGTGTAGTATTTCGTTACAATAGGTATTGTACGTTGACAAAGAGGCCGACTTTGCCAATCTCAAGGTATTTAAGACACTGCATATCCATTTGTCGATCCTCCTCTACAAAGCAGAGCAGTCAAACTCGTCTGTGAGAGGGACTACCAAGGTAGGCACTATGGCTCACTTCACCATTCGCCTCGATACAACGATTCGTCTTTGTATACGTGCACAATGCCAAGCAGGTAAAAGTCGCCGGCCTGTGTCTCTGACCTGGGTCACTATCTTCTTTCAGAAACTATTCTATGTTGTTATATCACCTCATCACGTCAGTCGATGATGTTGCTATTCGTGAGCCATCCAGAAGGATAATGGCGACAAAGATGGTTGCCTCTTGAGCACTTTTGAGGGGCTTCCACTCTTAAATACACAATATCGCTAGGCTGCAGGAATATGATGATGCGTTGAGGTAGATTATAACATTGGTCTCCTGTCGGGAGAAAGCATCTATACCGAAAGTATCTATACATCTGGAAATTGATTTTGTAGCGATACTTCCTGTTCGTGGGTATGCAACCGTCATGTTATCCCAGCAAGCCACTGTTTTGACATAGGTAGCATCGTTCTCAGATTGTAACCATGACATACATGGCCCAACGGCAGCTTGCACTTATATGTTCGAAGACCATCGCTTATATCCAGAACTCGAACCATCTCCCAGGCAGTATGTCAAAACAGCTCTATTGCTTTTCAGAGGCTAGCCCCGCATTCAGGTTGAAACAACCGATGAGATAATGTGTAATGTAGGTACCGCCACGCTATCATTGAATATTCAGACAACACTAACCTCATCACAGTCGTGAGTAGTTCCTATATAGATGCCAAAGCTGAGGCACATTCGCTCTTCAGGAGCAAATATTCATCGGAGGCTGCCCACCTTTCTCGGGCTGGACGAAGGTTTCCAAGTTGCGAGCGCCGGTTGACCTCAGCTTCCGGGGTGATCAAGTTTCCAGGGGCCGAGCTTTGGAGTATCTCCTGGGACTCTCTTATGCGAAAGCATTGGTTGCGTGTGTCATGCAAATTGCCTTTCACCTCCTCGTTGCGTGGCCCCAACCACGAAGAGTGTTGTTGAGAGTATGTCCACAAAAAAGGTAGTTGAAGTAACTCGTCTACAAGTAGTTATCAACGAACTCGACGTAGCCACCTTCAATGAAGACCAGGGACGCAATGCAAGTACTGAGCTGGCCCTTGTACCGTTCAGTGGTCTCCAGCTTTGCTCTCAATGGGAGGTACGGATACATGACAGGTGCAGCACGGGCAGGTGGTCCGGTGGGTGGGGGACCCCGGCGCTGGGGCGGAACCGCTCACGTGATGCAATGCTTGCCCGTCGGCATCCGTAGCGGCCTCCCTTGCGGCCCTGGCCCCTGCCGCGGTACCCTGCGCTTGCCCTGCGCCCAAGCCTTACAACTTACGTACGCCTGGCTCCATGCCCAGCCGACCTTAGTAAGTGGATCCCCATGGAAGTCCAAAAGCTGCAGGATCAGACGGGATTACGGGGGGGAGTGACAGCCCGAGTCCACCTCCAGCGACGCTGAGTCTCTGAGGGCTCTCTTCCATTCCCAAAAGAGGCCAACTGGGGGCCTGAGGGGTGTTAGTGTCCAGCGCACTTACGCAGCCCGCATCACTGCACTCCACATCATCGTACGTCGGTCGGTACGCCTGGCTCGTCGCCGAACTTCACCACTTACACTTCCATTCCGCATAACCTCATTCTGCCTGGAGTCAAACGCGACCGTCTGTCTCCTTGCAGGTCCCGACATGATCGTTTGATCCTTTCGAACGGCAGTCCCTGACCGTTTGCGCCGAAACACCATTCTCTTTGTGACTTCTTTCTTCCACACTCTTCATTTCCCTTGCCTTCCGTTCTGTTCATTCTAAACCGCGACGATCACCGCCAATACTAGCTTTTCGGAGCCTAGCTACCTAAGCAGCCGGCGATCGTGAAGCAACCACACGGAGCTTATCGGCGACCAGCCAAACGTCACTCCATCTCGACCGCGCCCTCGAAAGCGAAAAATCTCTCAAAATGTCGTATCTCCTCTACTCCGTTTCCTTCCTCCTCCTCATCACCGCAACGGCCCTCTACTTCACCCGCGGCCACTGGCTCCACCTCGTTCCCGACCTCCCGATCCCCGGCCGCGACTACATCTACTCCCGCCTGCCCTCCTCCTTTGTCGGCGACATCGACGCCGGCCTCTCGAGCTCGACCTTTGACTTGGCGGGCAATGTCGAATCCGGCGACAGCCGCGCAGGTCTGGACGATCGAAGCAAGAAGGAGATTCTCAAGATCATGAAGAAGCGCCGCATGAAGTTCGACGACGCGCGCAGGGTGTACATGGAGCAGCGCTTCAAGGCCAACGGTATCGGACCGGATGGAAGGCCTCTGGATCCCAAGGCCGTCACGTTCAGTTAGGCGTGATGTATACGAGCTACCTCGAGAGAAGAAGAGAGAGAGAGAGAGAGAGAGAGAGAGAGACAGACGAAAAGGGGATACCCGACATAGATCGGGTAGGCGGGAAACGTCGTTTGCAGCATACATCTGCACTAAACTGCGATCCGGATTACCGACGACTAACCATTATATCTCATCCGAGGAGGGAAATGGCCACGAAGGATCATTTCTGATCACTTTGCACCGTAGAGCATCACTCGATGTTCCGAGCTTCTACCTACAACAACTACCATATCATGCGCCGAAACAGGCCACCGATTACCTTTCCTTGCTTATCAACCATTCGACATACCACTACTTCCTAGGGCAACAGGCGTTGCAGCGGGCTTACCCTTTTTCTTTTTTTCTTTTTTCTGTTTTCTGTTTTCTATGTTCTTGGGCTCCTGGTGGTGGACGTTTTTAAGGTTCCAGTTGACAAAGCCGTCCTTGCGCCGGTATGGATCGGCGTCTTTTTTGGTATTATCTATCAACGTAGAGCTTGCGTGATACAGTTTCAACGGATTTTACTCTTGTTACCAGTCCAGATCTTCATTCTCTTTGTTGCCTTTGTGACCCGACTTTTCTCCCTGTCAATGCCACGGGGTTGCATGGCTTCCGGTAGTCCGCTAGATGTGATATTCGAGTCCCTCTTCTCTTCGACATTTGCCAGTGTGTTCTTGTTCAAGACTCATATCATTTTGTAGTTGGCGTTCTGGATTCAAGGATACAGTTGCGCTAGTAGCTATTACACCCTTGATCCATCCACGCCTAGAGACCGTCAGATGGCTTTGCTCCCATTATATCACCATCATCCGTCCGCATTACGCCCAGCATTCGATTGTGCCGAGTTAGATATATATGTATATATATACAGTCAAAAGGTTTGGCAAGAGCCAAAGTATTACAAAGATTTAGGAAGTGTTTTCTTCAGCTCCTCGCTTGCGGCTGACTTTTTGCGCTGAGCGTATCCAGCACATTCTGGACTGGATGCTTAGTTCGTCTTCTTCGCCTCGGCGGCAACGTACTGGCGGTCGTCGTCGCCCTCAACCTCCTTTTGGATGTCTTCCATCTCTTTCATGTTAGATTCCCACGTCTCCTTGGCCATTTTGGTCTTCTTGTTGAACCAGGCTAAGTCAGGCTTGCGGTAGGTGCCACCGAGACGGTCCCAGAGAGTGGTGAACTGGCCATAATTGTAGCTGCCAAGTCTGTCAGAAACTGTGAAGCTCTCAGCTCTCTTACATGGTCAGAAACTTACTTGAAGTACAAGTGGTGGGCGGTGTGGCACGCGGAGCCGTTGATGATGGGGTTGTCGGTAATGTACTCGCCGTCGTGAATGAGAATAGTCCAAAAGTTGATAAACACAAACAGGGCCACGTATGCCAGCTTGTTGAGGGGGAACAACATCGGGTAGACGTGGTACGGGACCGACTGTGCGAAGCCGTCGAGGGGGTGGAAGGCGTGGCTGGCGTAGGGCGAGGGCATGATCCACTTGTGGTGAGGCTTGTGAAGGTGCTTGTAGACGAGCGGGAGATGTAGCCACCGATGAGCCCAGTAGATGCACAGGTCGGTGAAGAGAATGAAGAGAGGGAACTGCGCGTAGTCGTACCAACGGCCGGGGCCCTCCTCTGTGGTATCGTAGAGCTTGCAGTAGCCGCGCACCTCCGCGACGAAGGTGAGCGCGGTGCAGATTGCCATGACCGGCATGGCCATGTTGGCCTGTTTCATCTCGAGACGGATCTGGTTCTTGAGGAACTTTGGGTGGCTGAACGTCTTCTTGTCGAAGATGAAGATGTACGAGAGAGTCGCGAAGACAAAGTAGTTGAGGATGCCGAAGAACCTGGTATCATTCGCAGTATTGGTGAGCTCGGTCAGGAACATGATGAGGGTGGCGGAGCTGTAGCAACAACGTACCATGTGACGAGGAAGAGAGATGTGAACTGTCGGAAGATGTTGTCTCTTGGCCAGGCGCTCATATATGCGGCTTCGGAAGGCTCGAGGTAGAGCATTTGTGTCGAGGGCTTATACTGCCATGTCGAGAGTGGTTGCGCCGTGGCGTTGGCATGGTGAGGGAAGTCGTACGGAGCTGAACCGGCTGGGAGGAGTTTGGCGTAGAACTGGTCGCCAACAAAGGTGTCGACCACCTCGAGAACGACGTCCATGATTTGTCGAATCGAAGAGCAGTCGGTGGATGACCAGTAGTGTTGTTGCGGCAATGTCTAGAGCAACGATCGCAGTTGAGAGGAGAAAGACCGGTAGTCACGTATGCGCAACGGACCAGCACGAGATATAAGTCGTAGACGAGTCGAGGTCGCAAAGTTGCTGAGGGTCGCGGCCGGGATAACTCGGTGGGGTCTAAGATCATCGAATGTTTAATGGAAATCCTGGGGCCATGAGAAGGTGGGCAGATGCGCCTTACCTCCGGTTTAATGGACCTGGCTTGCGAGCGACGGAGACACAGCCAGGGGCGGGATCGGCAGCGTTTGCTTTCACGTCGGTCAGAGCTTCCAGCAGAAGACTTGGACAGGGATATTGCTGTGAGCTTTGTTGCAGACTGCAACCTGGGCTTATCCGACCTTTGCAAGGCCGGCGGTCGAATGACGAAGTGTCGGCACCGAGAGACTGGGCCGGCGTCGACAGTGAATGGCTTCCACTCCGAAGATGGCGGATGTTGGTTGAACGGCAAGGCTCAAAGAAAAAGGGGACCAGAACACTTAGGTTTAAGGTGTCAAGGTTGTCAACGCTTCTGTCGAGGTCCCTCGACACTGGCACGTACCCGATCTTAGAGTTTGGGTGTAAGGTCCAGCTGAGATGACAATCGAACACAAAAAGGGCGTCAAGATGGCAAGTGTTGCTGTAAGTCAAGGCCGAACAAGCTCTCAACGAAGAGGCAGCAGATTTCCCTGGGCGGGATTGGCCCTTCTTTTAACTGTATCCAACTCGTCTCCAGTCGCGGGCAGGCAACTGCGAAACTCGGGCGATTCGGTGTACGCAAGCCCATTGTGTCCTTTGAGAGTCGTCCGAGGTAATGTCCCAGTGGGCAGTTCGTCACTTGGGAAATCGCATGATCCAGCGGGATGGGCTTTTCCAGGGCCCGCGTTGACCAGTTTTTGATGTTGGACTTTTGGCTCAAGTCGGGTGGAAAGGCCAGGGAGCCCACTGGCGCAACAACCCATTGGCGAATCAGAAGCAGCCAACTCGTATTCGGTTTCCTGACAAGTCGTCCACTAATGTCCCGCCGCTGTGGTTGGGGTGGTGGTCTGATTTGATGATACTTGCGCCCCAAGATCTGGATGCCCTGGCACATTGGTAAGTGCCATCTCTCTGCGTGTGTCATCTGTTTTGTTTCACATGCAAAGACGATTAACTAGGTAGTGCAGCATACATACACAGTTACTGAAGGTCCATTCCTTGGTGCGTGTGAGGTAGCAGTGGCGGAACCCAGTCTACCGACCTGAATGCCGCTGTAGGGCAATTCTGCATCACCAACATTGCCAGTTAGTGATTCGGGATCCAGCTAGCCTGTGGTGATTCTATGCTTTCGGCAGCATGGTCTCCCAAAATGTCCAGATCCACCCAGCATATTCCAGGCCGTATCAGGCGGGCATGCCTGGCAACTGCGAGACCGCTGCCAGGCGTAATGGAAGCAATGTCATTGTTGCCAGAGGAAATGACGATGCGCGCTGGGCAGATCGTTGGTGCCGCCTGCTTGGGATCCGATAGAGCGCAGGATTGCGGAGGTTTCCTTCGGGTGTGTTGCAGTACAGACAAGTCTTCAATGATGCGACAAGCTCACAACGCTGGTCAAGTAGACGTTGGATGTTGGCATGGGTAACAGCTTGTTGTAAGGTCACCCTTACATGGATGCTGATCATAGCGCCCTTGCTGAGGATTGTACAGTCATGAAGAGTGTCTAGAATGTGTGCAAAATGGCTGTTGAACGGTGAAACGAGGCGTGTCTATCGAAGGTGGGCCATTGAGCACCGGCGCTTCAGCGAAGTGACTGGGGTCGTGCTCTATGGCTATCCTGTCGAGATTCAGCTCAGTGAGCCTCCAGCTGGAGATATATCAGCAGTGTCCTTGCTCGCAGCCTTGATTCAGTGAAGAGTCGAGAGGAAATGAACATTACGCCGGTCTCCATATCCTTATGGGCGAGCGCCATGTCTGGAACGTAGGTAGTTGCTAGACCACTTGTAGTGTGGTGAATGGAAATACGCCAATAGGAAGATAGAGGAAGGCCAGTGGTATTACAGGCACGCCTGGAAGGTGGTAGCCCTCGGTGACACGTCCTTGACCGAATCTCACGACGGACCCACCAGAGCAGCTTACCTCAGCCAGACATCTTCTCCGCTCAATCGGCTTGGGCGTTCTGATTCTACCCGAACTCACCTTACCCTTCCGATTTTCGAACCCCAACGCTAAGGCACCCAGAACCGCCGCCTTGTTTGTCCCGGGACCGCCAGCTGATGTTGGGGGGCACCTCACCATGCGGCCATCGTCAACCGCGCTTCACACCCCTCCTTGTTGACCCTCTTGCCTCAGCCACGCTCCTGAGCGGTCTGGAGCTTCACTCCGAAAAAGGGGCGAATTCGCTGATAGCCAATGGACCTGTCCAGAATACATTGTGGTCGTGGCATGTCTGTCAACCGGGGATCAAACAAATTGATGCCGATTAACGAGATAGGATGACGGTTCATAACTAACGCCAAAGTAACGTGGAACTTAGGACAGCCTGCTTTTCCTGCTTCGTTTGGCCCAGCGATCAATATGGCAGACAAGAAGACACAGTATTGAGTTGCTCGAAAACGATTTCCCCGCCCGCCCATCGAGATCTACCGTGTGTTGTCTGTCTATTCTCGAATCTCAGACACGGCGACATAGTAAGAGGCGTCCTCATCTGCAACCCAAGCCGCTGTTGACAGCCTCCGCAGCAGTGTGGTGTGGCATGGTATGGCCGCTGACAATGCCTACGGATAGTGTGTTGCACTTTGATCAATCTGGTCATATTCCTGTCGATAGGATGGTTTTGCGCGCGTACTAGTAATAAGCAGAATATGTACGTCTGTGGAAGAAGGAATGAAACCGAAGCGAAAAAAGAAATCATCGTCAAGAGAGGGCGTGGAATGGGGCAAGACCTGTGCTACCACAACAGCTCCAACAAAGTCCCCAAAGTTTCTTTTGTGTGTGCGCTCATGAATGTCTACCTGGTACCACCGTAATCGCGCTAATAATGGCATTGCATGGCGCATGCATGCGACAACGGGAATGCCTCCATGACATTGTGTTGGCGATGCCGAGACGTGGGGGGGGGGGGGGGGCGCCGAAGGTCCTCCCATTTGTACGTGGGTCTATACCGATGGATTTTGTTTTTTACCTTTTCTCCCCTTCGACATCCTCTTCCTCTCGCAAATATCAGAAAAAGTTAGAACCTGACAACATCCAAAGGCTAGTGAGCCCGACGGGCATGGAACGTTTCGACAGCTTCCATGGATGGTAAAAAGTAGGATGGCACGATGGGATGGGCCACACCATAGGCCAAGGGCCATGATCCCTGGTGTGTGACACGGCGGGCGGATGGCCGAAGAACGCAACATGCTTGGTCGCCCTCCCAACCTTATTGCCCGCGGGGGGCTTCATCACTCATCATGTCCGCGACACGCCCCAACTATGAGATGAGAGGAAAGTGCTCTCTCTGGGCGGTTTATGTCGGTTAAGATACGTTATCTTCGATCAGCGGCTACAACTACCCATACGGTGTGGCTATGAGGTGAGGTCACCTAGGTGAGATGTCGTCTTCTCACCTTGGCTCACCGAAGAATTGTCACATCCCGAAGCGGCTATCAACGTTCACTCTGACCAAAACCTATCTGTGTTCTGGTGCGGATTTACCACTTTCTTTCGCTCGTATATACGAAAACTGCGTTACTATCTACATTACTCCGTACGGATACAGATAATCCTCCTGAAGGAAGTTGGGAAGGTATGGAGGAGAGAACAGGGAGGCTTCAAGCGCACGCGCAGGCGCTAGGCCGCTAACAAGTTAGCAAGGTTGACGCAGGTTCTCCCGGTTCTCAGACGTCGTCAAACTCTCCCTCGTTTCCATCTTTGCTCTGCGGATACCAGACCAGACGATCCACCACGGACACAACCCTCTCACTCACAGTCATCACACCCACACGCCTCTCATCCTGTACACTACTCCGTGCTATACTGTACGCAGTACGGCACGGATACTTCCATTTCGTGCCTCGACCCCCCTTTCACTCAGGTTCCCTCCTCTGTCCCTCCCGTTTCTCTCTCTCTGTTAGGTATTCTCCTCTCACGCACACACCCCTTTCGCTGAACCCTTGCCGTGCCTCGCTCCTCAGCAGCCGCCCTCAAGGCTAAGAAACCTGTCACGTCTTCCAATGGAACATTCTGCATCTGCACCCGCACCCGCAACCACAACCCATGGCTCACCCATCCACACTTCACAGCTTCACGCCCTCATACCCTGTACCACGCATTATCCACACTCTCTTTCACCCCCCCCCCCGGTGGGTTGCGGCTTGCCCTGGCCCAGTGGGTGCTTGGATGCTTGTGCTCTGGTGCTTTGGAGGGTGCCTCACTGCCATGCCATTTTTTGGGTGCCACCTCGTCGGCCACATCTCCATGCTGCGCATCTCCATGCAGCAGCGCTGCATCTCACGATAACTCCCCAAACTGCCTTCTTCCGCGATACCCAAACCTACCATCACACCTCAGCCACCTGCTTGCCTGCCCATCCTGACCTTCCTCCCTCAATCCATCCTGCCACATTGCCTTACTTCTGGTGACCCTTCCGGACTTGGCCTGTTGGTTTTGCTGGCTGACGGCTTCTTTCTGGCGGCTATCGCCCAGCACAAGTGCATGCAGGCGAACTCCCATTTCCGCACGACATCTCTTGTCTCAATGTCACAACCATTCGAGAACTTGCTGATAACAAATACGCTCGCTGTAGTACGTGGCTATGAACGGACAGGTTATTCTTTGCTGGCTGGGCCAGGGTTGTGATATCCGTCCGCAGCGGCGTACGTGCGAATAAACAGCACTTATCATACATAGTCCGAAATTTTTGGGGCCGCGAGCTTGCACGGAGCTCTGCCGATGTTTGGGAAAACGGTCGAGCGGGTTTTCTTTGCCGGACAGAATCTGCTTCGTACTCCTGTCACGATCCAAATTGTTTCTTGACGAGTGGAACAGAGCAAATTGTCCGATGATCGTGCTAGAAAGTGACGCTTCCGATTTTGGAATCGACCAGCTGGATATATTCAGCTTGTCGTCCGTGGTGTTTAGTAAATACTACGGAATATTGACATCCCGAACTAATGATGTGAAGATGTTGTTCATCCCGCTCAATGACGCAGGGTATGAATTCTGACCAGACCACAGCAGTTGACTTGGGCAATACTGTGAATTCTTCGCCGTAGCAGGAATTCGGCCTCATCAGTGTATGGTGAGTACGTCCGGTAGGTAAGCAAGAGCTTCATGAGGCACGAAATTGGCCAGATGCACCTGACTGAGTATCTGGGTCTTCTACGGATATAACATCAATGTAAGCATCTGGCAGCCAATGGAAACAGAGGCAGAATATGCCACGCCAAAACTGCGAGATTAACCAACCCAGGGATTTATATCAAGTTGTTGCTTACCTACCACTGCTACCAGGCTGAGCAATGTATGTACCAAGTCAAGTAGGCAGGAGCAAAATAGAAGCTGGTGACGACGGGACCTGAAGGTTTGCGAGACTTAGGTACGCACGAGGTACGGAGTGCGGGCTGCACCTGCACCCCACCGCCCCATTAGTAGCACGCCCCCGCTCCGAGAGCTAGCGTCAACACTAAGGCACCCCTGCTCTACTGAATCGATTCAGTCGCCGCCGCGTAGGTACCCATGTACCATATCCCAAGCCTGGGCAGATTGAAACCACCCACACCCGCTGGGAGCAAGCGCCACATGGAAAGAGACCCACCTTTGAAGCCAGCTCACCAGAAAATAAAAAGATACAAAAAACACAGAGACGCACAGACCTGTGCTCCACCTTTGTAGCGATGTCCCCGTCGATACCTGACGCTACATGACTGTCGCCCGTAATGCCTGCTCCATACCCGTCAACGCTCGCTTGCGGTCCCTTAGTGCCGTACCGCTGCATCCTGAGCATGTATCTCGACTGACCCAGCTACCTCCCGGTCGTCTACCTTAGCTTGGCGTGCACCTGGATCCAGGGGGGGGGGGCGGCACAGAGCAGTTCACCTCTGATGGGGGACCCACCTTTGGATCAAATCCCCAGGCGGCTCCCATCCGTCTTCTTTTTTCGCCTGTGCACCTTGCACCTTGCACCGTCTCCTCTCGTTCCACTCGCCAGCCTCTTCTGGACGGGTCTCTTTCTCTCCTTCCACCTGCCTTGCCTAACCCGAACTTTTCTTCCCCTTCCTCTCTTTTTCCCCATCTCCGCCGTGACAGACTCGACACGCGCGCCGCGCACATAACATCATCAATCGCGAGCCCAACGCCTTTCCATCTCATCATCCCCTTACGCCAACCGAATCCCATCCGCGTCGCGCAGCACCCATCTGCGTTTTCCTGACTGGACGGCTCTGCCGCTGTCAACGCAACCGCCCTAGACCTTACCCAAGGCAAATCGCGCCTTGTGCTTCAGTGCATCCAGTCGATTGAAGGGGGGCCCATAGCCGCAACAGCTAAATTTGCCGAGCCACGACAATCTCAAGACCAAACCCGACGGATCTTTTCCATCATCGACACTCGAATTGCAGCTTCCCACGGTTATATTTTCCCTAATAAACACCGTTACTCCATCTCCATCAACACCACGTACCCCGCCGGCGCGAATTGTTTGGTTCCAACCTTGAATAATCTTGTCGACTCCAACCGCAACCATGTCCATGTATCCGCATCGCGCCATGGGCGCGGTGCCCCCCAACAACTCGGCCCGGCTCAATGAGCTCCTCGACCAAATCAGATCCGAGTTCGACACCCAGATGCGCCAGACGGAGGGTTATGAACACCAGAGTAAGACAATTGCGCTTGACACCTATCGTCATTCACGCTAACGAATGTCCAGTCCAGGCTCAAGTTCAGGAGATGCAGCTTGTTAGAGAAAAGGTGTACGCCATGGAGCAAGCGCAGATGAACCTCAAGCAAAAGTATGTTGATGTCAATGATTGCGAGCCGAGTCCCATCACAAGAAGCTAACAGCGAGCTTTTGAACAGGTACGAAGAGGAAATTGCCATGCTCCGCCGCCAGCTCGAGGGAGCTCGTGGAAACGCGCCTCCTAGCATTGGCGGTCCTCCTCCTCACGCGGGCCCGTCGCAACAGCCCCCCTCCATCACCCCCGGCACCGGTCTCTTCAACGGTATCATGACCGGTGGTGGCCAGGGCCAGCTGGCCCCTCCTCCGCCCCCTCCTCCCCCTCAGGACCAGCAAATGGGCCCGCAGCATCAGATGGCCCAGGGACCTCCGGGTCTGCCTGTCCCGCCTCCGCCGCCGCCTCAGTCGCAGCAGCCTTTCCAGCAATACCCCCCGGGTCCCGGTGGCCCTGTATCTAACGGGCTCGGCTCCCAGCCCCCCCAGACCACCGCATCGCCGGGTCCGGGCAGACGTGGAATTGGAAGACCACCTGCAGCTGTCGGTCCGGCTACGCCCCAGATCAACACTCCCATTCCTTTCCCGGGCGCCACTCAGTCGCCTCAAGTCAGCCATCCTACTCCCGACCACGCGCGGATGGGGGGCCCCCACGCTCCGCCGGTGGGAAACGCCCTTGGCGATCTTGACCCTGATCGCCTGCCGCCTCACTCAAAGAAATCGGGTCACGACTGGTTCGTCATCTTTAACCAACACGTGCCTCGCATGTTGGATGTCGATCTTGTCCACACTCTCGCACACGAGAGTGTAGTCTGCTGCGTGCGCTTCAGCCACGACGGCAAGTACGTAGCCACCGGCTGCAACCGCTCCGCTCAGATTTACGATGTTCAGTCTGGCGAGAAGCTCTGTGTCCTTCAGGACGACACTGTGGATATCACTGGTGATCTGTACATTCGCAGCGTTTGCTTCAGTCCCGATGGCAAGTACCTTGCTACCGGTGCTGAGGACAAGTTGATTAGAGTAAGTTTTGACCGAAAATGCATTTTGGTATGGGCTCAGCTGACTCTTCTTAGGTTTGGGACATTCAGTCTAGAACGATTCGCAACACCTTCTCCGGCCACGAGCAGGACATCTACTCTCTCGACTTTGCCCGCGATGGTCGCACGATTGCCTCTGGCAGTGGAGATAGAACTGTCCGTCTCTGGGATATCGAGCAGGGCACCAACACTCTCACCTTGACTATTGAGGATGGTGTCACAACTGTTGCCATTTCTCCCGACACCAAGTATGTCGCCGCTGGTTCTCTCGACAAGAGCGTCCGCGTTTGGGATATCCACCAGGGATACCTGCTCGAGCGTCTTGAAGGTCCCGATGGCCACAAGGACAGCGTCTACAGTGTTGCCTTCTCTCCCAATGGCAGAGACCTCGTCAGTGGCAGTTTGGATAAGACGATCAAGATGTGGGAGCTCAGCACCCCTCGCGGCTTGCCCAACCCCGGACCCAAGGGGGGCCGTTGCGTCAAGACTTTCGAGGGTCATAGGGTAAGTAATTTGTGTGCCTGCAAACTTCTTCAACAGATTCGCTAATGTACTTAGGATTTCGTTCTCTCCGTCGCGCTTACGCCCGATGCCGCTTGGGTCATGTCTGGTTCCAAGGACCGTGGAGTGCAGTTCTGGGATCCCCGCACTGGCGCCACGCAGCTGATGCTCCAGGGCCACAAGAACTCGGTCATTTCAGTTGCTCCTAGCCCAACTGGCGGTTATTTCGCCACCGGCTCTGGTGACATGCGGGCGCGTATCTGGTCTTACCGAAGCGTCCAGTAGGAAAATGTCGCTCGTCCATGGTTCGGATACATGTACGTGGGATAAAGTTGATATTTCTTGGCGAAGGCTTGTTTAGTGGCCAGAGATGTATACCAAGCAGTGGATGTCGAAGAGAAGAGGTTGAGTTGCTCTGTGACTAGGGAGGGTTTCGTTTGCGGTGGAACAGGTTGTCCCTGTCTATGTCTAGGAATATCCTCAAAGAGAGACGCACAGGCCGGTAGGGGGCGTACAGGCAGGGACACGTCGGAATCTCGTAGCAAATAGCCGTCGCTAATGAAAGATTTGAAGCTTTATACGACTCTTATCTCTATATGATGTATTGTTTGGTATCATTGGGGAATCTTTGTTATGTGAATGTCTACATGAGGGAACTGAATAAATCGGAAAAGTCGTCCGTCTTTTTTGCCTTTTTCTTCTTCTTTACTGGCTTTTCCTCCTTTGCTGGCCTGCTAGATTTAATTTCAAGAGGAGGCACACTCGCCAACTTGCGCTTCTTTGGGGAGATGGCAGCTGATGCTCCATCAAAATTTCGTGGTGTTGATGAAGATGTTAAGGGGTGGTGATCTGAAGTTTTCGCAGCTAGCCTGAGTTGGTCCCGAGAGATGGCCACGCCGAGACCTTTTGAATCGGATTGCTGCTGCTGCTGGTGATGTCTCTCATCTGCCACAGCGACAGCAGTAGCACCCTTGTTTGTTGAAGATGATGAAGAGGTAGTTGTGACATCGCCTGCTGGTGTGGCCTTTTCCCGAGGAGCGGGAGTAGGTGCCAGGAGTGTGACGACGGAGTTGATGCGTGCTAGAAGACCTATTAGAACCAGACCTAGGGCTGCGTGTTGGTTGTCTGCTGCTAGTTGTGTAAAGGCTCTGTAGTCCTCGGGTCAATATCGGTACTACATATATCAAGTTTTAGCCATATGATGGAGAGGTAGAAACTTACGAAAAGGACGAGGGGATGGTGGAATCTAGCAGCATCCGCACCCTAGCAGCAAAATCTTCGTCCAGCGCATTCTGACGACGTTCTGCGCTGCTGACGGATTTACTCCCAGCGGCTACGGCAGACTTTTTCGAGGAGGACGAGGAAGGAGACTTTGACTTGAAGCTGAGGGCGCGGCGGTGACGGGCCTGGGCCTCGAGGACGTCGTGCAGGCGCCGGACGACGCGGCGGAGTAGGTCAAAGGCGGACCACCAGCGGGCTACACGGTGCTGATTCTTGTTGCGGTGGTTGAAGCTGTCGAGGATGGCGAGGACGGAGACGAGGGTTGCGATTGGGGTTGTTTCTTCGTTGGGTGTTGTTTTCGCTGCTGTTGCGGCGGTTGTGGTTGTGGTTGCCTTCATATCATGTGATGCGCTTTTCCTCGTTGTTTTCCCCCTTTTCCTTTTTTGCGCTCCAGCGATATATAGTTCTCTGAGCAAAATGAAGCAGCCAGAGTGAGAAGAATAGCCAGGGTGTGAGGCGCGGATGGCTGCTGTCAGATGTGATGCGCCTGAGTCTCAAAGTTTGACACTACAGGTACCCTTGGTCGTGGTTGGTAGGTTGAGAGTGCAAGTGGTGTGCGAAATATGATAGAGGGACCGTGCACTTTCCAAAAAAAAAAAAAAAAAAAAAAAAGAAGAAACGACGGACCGGACGTTGATCGATTTGGTGCGGATCGGAGCGCGGTTAGCCTCAAGTAACGTACCTAATGAAGGTTATTTGCGCACTTCTTACGGAGTAGTGTGTACTGATCATCACGAGGCACCAAATTTGCCCTTCATATTCTCTCTATTCTTTTTGAAGATATTCCCTCGCCCTCTTCAGAGAGGGGCACACAGACAGAGGAGGCTTGAGCCGCATGCTACGTGGAACAGGACCAGCGGCTGGCGCAGAAGAGAGTCAGTCCACGTACGCTACCGCATGTACTACTCCCTAAAGACATCTACCCTGTAACGTAGGGCAAAGTCTCGAGCAACGGCGATCTCATGGAATAGCGAGAGAGAACAAAGAAAAGGGCAACAGAGTCTGTGCATCGCAAATTCGTCCGAGGCCCGGGGGGTGTAACACCATCCATCTGGCTGAGCTGCTTTGGTGCAAAACTCGTCATGAGATGCTCGAAATGTGTGAGGGCATGTGAAGCGAGGCTCGAGCATCTGGGGTACTGCGGTAGTGTAAAAAAATTGAGAGGCTCGGCGGCAGATGATTAGTTGCAAGGATTCTTGCGTTTGACTTTCTGGAAAGTCTAGGTTGCGAAGTCGACTACATAGTACCGTACTAAGCTAGCTACTTGGCGGGGTGGTGATGGCATCATTTGCATCTGAACCTCCATGCATGAACCTGTCTCAACAAGGCATTTGGATGACATGTCATGTGGTCCTTTTGGGGGGAAAGTATGCAAATAGCGGTGAGTAACGAGGTAAGGTAAGATGGGATGCGGAGAGATCTGGGCGGGGGACTCGGGCGGTTAGGTATCTTGAAGGGACGGATAGAAATCATCGATATCCGAGGTCTTCAACCATCCGGCCGCTGAACATCGGGCGAGAGTCACTTTATGGATATGATAATTGGGATAGGTATTGTCCAACTTCCTTAGCTAAGAAAATGCCCGTCAGCCGTTTGATGACGAGACTCCACAATCGTCCCGTAAGTAGGCAAAACATGTGGAGGTAGGGAACAAAAAGAAAGGAAAGCAGAGACAGTGGCAGATGATGTCGAAAGACTTGCAGGACGATATTACGTACTGCAGACGTCTGCCACCTATTACCTACCTACGCAGTAGTATCTTAGTTAGTACCGTGATACCTTGGGAAGGTACGGTTAAGAAAGAGGCCCAGAAAAGGCAAGCAGGCTGGCCGGCGCAGCAACCCGGGAGGGTCGAGGGGGGTTGTACTCCGTACTCCAACTCCGTACTGTAAGGTAAGGTAGGTACGTAGGTAGTTGAGGTGATGGTGGAGAGGGCAGAGCCAGGGTTGGGTCAGGTTTGAAAGTTTGCAGGTTCTGGCCGCTGCAAAGGCCCTGCAACAGGCCCTGCCACTTGCAGCAGACGTGCAGCAGGAGCGCCGTTCCATTCTCTGCCATTGTCCAACCAGAGGCGCCGGCGCGATAAGCCGACCAACTTTTGACGATGCGGACGGCGTCATGAAAATCAAAGGTTGGACGTCCAGCTGACTTTTCTTTACTTTCCCCTGTGAGCCCCCTTCTATCGCCCGTGTCTCCCCTGCGCTTCCTGTTGGTGTTTGGCGGTTGTCAGTTGATGCCTCATTCTCACGTCCGCTTCACGGCAGAGGTACCCCTCTCGATCCTCTCCTTCTGCTCCCGCATCGAGCCATCTCTCGACTGCTATTCGTCGTCATGGTCTCGGGTTGCGTTCTCGGATTCCGTTAATGCATGTCATGACATATCTGCAGATATGGCCGGCAATAGCCAGCCCGCCCCCCGGACCCCATCCTACCCTAAGGTACCTAAGAATTAGATAGTGGCCTGTGTCAGTGTGTTTCCAAGATGCCAATGCCATAAGGTAGCTACATACACTCTCTATCTTGAATAGGGTAATTGGGCACCTTGGGGGGGGGATCAACAGTTTACCTCTTCATCTGAACGTATTGAAAGGTAAGATGGAGGGGAAAGAGGGGAAAGAAGCATTGACTTCTTTCTGTCTTGGGCATCATGGTGGTCCTTCTCATGTACCTAACTGAGTACTCGATTGAGAGGCAGAGAAGGAGGAGGGTTCCTTCCTTGGCTTTCCAACATTTACAGGTCAACTTCGCCTTCGTCCTCCTTCCAGTTTTTTCTCCAGCTTTCCTCTCGCCAAACTCCTTCCTTACTCGTGACCCATGGCACACTACCTAGTACACACACGGCCACACAAATAGTGTACCGAGTATGCCAGCATCCATCCATTCGACTTCCTCTACTCTTGGATCTTCTTGTCTTGAACAACCCAAGTCTAAAAATCTTCCTAACGCCACGACGTAACAACCACTCCCACCGACCGCTGTTATCTCTGTCGTTCCGCCCTCCTATCCACTTGGACGTGGAGACTGGAGCCAGACAGGACAGAAAAAACCCAGTCGGACCTCAGCAGACACTTGCGACAAGACCCAACCTGCGCTTTCGACAACCCACTGCACTAGCAACCCATCTCATCTCCCGCAACGACTCCACTTGGGGCCGGCCTTAGTAGGGGTGCCTTGGTTTTGCTTTGCAGCCTTTGCTTGCTTTGGGCTTGGGGTGCGTAAGAGGGAAAAGGCACATTTGCCTTTTATCGATACACGGTCTTTTCGACCTGCTGCTACCTTACACTACCAACTCCCGTACGTACTCAGTAAGGTGCCGCGCCTACGCCGTGTGCTACTACTCCGTCCCGACCAGGTTTATATACCACCTCCAAGGCTCAAAACGCCCGCGCGAACAATAGCCCAGTCGCGACCGTCTACCCTGCCCAAAGAGTTGACTACAGATTTTTTTTCTTTCTTCCCTCTCCCTCCTCTTCTCCCTCTTTTCCTCTATTCTTGTCGCGACAGTTTTGCATACGAATCGTCGTTGTAAAAAAAAGAACGCCGTGGAAACGACTTTAATCAACCTTTGTTGTTGCTAGAAACCACGAGCTTTTCCCCATGCCCTCGAGAAACCCGTCCACCTGGGACGAATACGAACGGGGCGCCTCCCCCCAGCGCTCCGTGAGTATCGACTCCAATGCCGTAGCTGAGGACCAGTCGCTCTTGGGAGAAGATGACGACGGTGACTACGGCAGCAGTTCTCACGGACTTCGTCGCAGAAGGTTGTTATTCCTGACCCAAGCCGAGTAGCACATCATTGACGTCAGCTTGCTGCCGTTGTCTCTGTCGCTGCAACTCGGCGCACGATACACCCAGTTCACCCCGCTAACCAACCCCTCTTACAGATCTTCAGTAACGCGACACCTTGCCGCCATCACAGATATCGGTGGCGTCAACAGTATCCGCTCCTTTACGCGCAGTTGGGCGCGTGCCGCAGGCTTTGCCGAGGTCATTCCTCAACGGCCGTCCTTTGTTTTCGCGCCTGACCAAGTCCCGATTGCCTCGTCGTCCACAGATGGCCTCGACTACTCTCGCAGCCATGTCGAGTCCGGTTCCCACCCGAGGACCTCACTGCTGAGGCAGCACCTCGAGGCCACCCCCGAGACGGCACCGAGCGCATCGTACCAGAATGGTTCTTCAGCTTCTGGCGCAGACGATAGCGCCGTGCAGACCGATTTCCGCGACCGCGAGCGCAAGGCAGTCGAGGCGGAGCTGTCTGGAGCCTTCCGTGGTTCCAGCTTTGGAAGCGGTCGTCGACCTTCCCAGTCCATTTTCGCGGTCCCGCCTCACCTGGCGACCCCGCCGCTGGTCGGGAGTTTCAGCTCGTACAGGACGTATGGAACGATAGCAGATGTCGATGAGCCTTCAATGGCCCAGGCCGGCGAGCTCTGGCGCCAACAGCAAGAGGCAGGGGGCAATGTGCCTGATGGAGAGAACATGCCCATTCTCGTGAAGGAGGTCGAACAAGACGGAAAGATTATCCTGACCGTGGAGGGACAGTCCACGCTTCCCCAAACCATCTTCAACTCGATCAAGTGAGTAGTACCCCTGTTGTGGCGCGCATTGAAAGACAAGTTGATTCTAACCTGCAGTACAGCGTCTTGATCGGTGTTGGTCTGTTGAGTTTGCCCATGGGCATCAAGTACGCCGGTTGGATTTGCGGCATGATCGTTTTGGCAGGTTCTGCGGCTGTGACAGCATATACGGCCAAGCTTCTGGCGAAGTGCATGGATCTCGACGCCAGCTTGATCACATTCTCCGACCTGGCCTACATCTCCTACGGTCGTAACGCGCGTATCGCCACCAGTATTCTCTTCACCCTCGAGTTGCTGGCTGCCTGCGTTGCCTTGATCGTCCTGTTTGCCGATTCGCTGACGCTGTTGTTCCCGGGGTTCCTCAGCGTCAACGCATGGAAGCTCCTGTGTTCGATCATCATGATTCCCCTCAACTTCCTCCCGCTGCGGCTCCTGAGTTTTACCAGCGTTATTGGCATTGTGTGTTGTTTCAGCAGTGAGTTCCTCCTTTCTCTCTTTCCGCGCCAAGCTCTGATTGCTAATGCATGAGGCCAGTCGTCTTGATTTTGGTGGTTGATGGACTCATCAAGCCCACGACTCCGGGCTCTCTCATCGAGCCGGCCACAACTTACCTGTTCCCTGCGAACTGGGGTACATTGCCCCTCAGTTTTGGCTTGTTGATGAGCCCGTGGGGTGGTCACAGTGTATTCCCCAATGTGAGTATTCGTTTGTCTTGGTGAGCAAGTGCGGCATGCTAATTGTTTGTCAAGATTTACAGAGACATGCGCCATCCTCACAAATACCCGAGGGCCGTCAAGACGGTCTTCACGTCCGTCGTAAGTAGCCATAATATGCTTCCCGATCCCTCTACTCACTGCTGACCGTTGACTAGTACCTTTTGGACGCTTTCACGGCCGTTGTCGGTCTGCTGATGTACGGCGATGGTGTCATGGATGAGATCACGGCCAACATCCTCCAGACGAGCGGCTACCCCCGTGCCCTCAATTTCCTGCTCTGCATC